TTATATTTTAATTTTAAATTAAAAAAATAGTTTTTTACCCACCCGCAATCGCCCGCAAACGCAAACGCTAGCTGAAACCAGCTTTTGATTTTAAGAGGTTGGGAGCGGTTTGAAGCGATTTGTAGCGGTTTTTGTGATTGTTGCAAAACGCTAGCAACCGCCATCAACCGCAAAAGCTGCGTTTGCGGGTGGTAGCGGGAAAACCAGTCGGACCCTAAGTGTTACTACTTATAGATGTTGTTAACTCTTCTCCTTCTAATACTTTAGCGATGTGGGACTTTGGTTTCTTATAAATATCTACTCTATTAAAATACAATGGGTTGGTTGCATATCCCCCCCCCCCCTAAATACACTAACCCTACTTATTCCCCCCTAAACTATCAAGCTCTTCATAATCCCAACCAATTATATACTTCCTCTTTAAATATCCCCCTAAACTTATTTAATCCCCCTTTCAAATCAATTTCCAAATCGTGATTAATAAAATTAAAAAAGCGTTTAGAAAACTGATTGCCCGATTAAATAAAACAGATCCGACCCATAATAATAATAAAAAATCCAATTTAATTAGAAACCTAATTAAAATTAGAATTTAATTAGGGCTTTTTCATGTTTCTTCGACAGAAAACGACGACACAGAAAAGATGACTAGAGGGAGAGAGAGAGAGATGATGAGAGAGAGAGAGATGACGAGAGAGAGATGACGAGAGGGAGAGAGAGAGATGACGAGAGAGAGATGATGAGAGGGAGAGAGAGAGAGATGACGAGAGAGAGAGAGATATGACGAGAGGGAGAGAGAGAGATGATGAGAGGGAGAGAGAGATATGACGAGAGGGAGAGAGAGAGATGACAGGGAACGTAGAGAGAGGGAGAGAGAGAGATAGACCGGGGAATAGAGAAGAGAGAGACAAAAACAAAGATGATAGAGAGAAAGAGAGAGACATGATTGAGAGAAACTAATGCTGAGGAGAGAGAGACATTGAGGAATGATGAAGGGGCTGTGGTTGTTGGGTATAGAGAATTTTTAAACTTGTTTAACTTGGATTTCGTTTATGTCTGGGTTGAGTTTGATTTTTTTTTTTTACAGAGATGATGATACAGAGGACGAGAAAGACATGAAGTATGGAAAACTAGATAAGATGGATGAAGCTGAGGATACTCTTGGTCGATTTGAGTATGAGATAGAGGATTCAGTAGCTGATTTTGAGGATGAGATTCCAACTGAGAGAAACGAGATTCCAGAGAGTTCAGATGACTCCTCTGAGAATGTGCGTGAGGAGAGAATGAAAAGAAGAAGTGATGATAAATTAGCTTTGGGGAGTAGCTACTACACTTTGTATGAGTTTAAAGAGGTTGTCTTAGAGTATGCTTTGAGCAAGAGAAGAAACATTAAACAAGATAGGTGGGATAAGACAAAAGTCTCATATGTGTGTGGCATTGGTGGGAAGTGTAAATGGCGGATTTATTGCTCCTATGATATTGACAGTCAGAAATGGTTGTTGAAGACGAAGTATGGGTATCATAGTTGCACTCTGGATGGTAAATGCAAGCTGTTGAAAAGTCCGGTGATTGCAAGACTGTTTTTGGATAAGCTGAGACAGAAATCGGATTTGATGCCTAAGGAGATTCAACAGATCATAAAGGAGAAGTGGAAAATAGTCAGTACACGGAATCAGTGTCAAAGAGGCAGACTTTTAGCTCTGAAATGGCTTGAGAAAGAGTATGAGGAGCAATTTGCTCATCTTCGAGGATATGCACATGAGATCATGGAGACAAATCAGGGTTCCACAGCCATTGTAGACACATACAAAAACAAAGCAGGGGAAGATGTTTTCAATGGTTTTTATGTCTGCTTTGGGNCAGTACACGGAATCAGTGTCAAAGAGGCAGACTTTTAGCTCTGAAATGGCTTGAGAAAGAGTATGAGGAGCAATTTGCTCATCTTCGAGGATATGCACATGAGATCATGGAGACAAATCAGGGTTCCACAGCCATTGTAGACACATACAAAAACAAAGCAGGGGAAGATGTTTTCAATGGTTTTTATGTCTGCTTTGGGGTTCTTCGTGACACTTGGAGAGGATATTGTAGGCCAATTATCGGAGTTGATGGTACTTTCTTAAAGAGAGCTGTGAAAGGGGTGTTGGTTACTGCTATTGGACATGATGCCAACAATCAAATTTACCCGATTGCTTGGGCCGTTGTTCAATCTGAGACAACGGATAGTTGGTTATGGTTTATCAAGAATCTAAAACATGACTTAGTTTTGAAAGATGGGAATGGGTTTATCATCATTTCAGATAGATTAAAGGGACTGAAAAGTGCAATGGAGTCAGAGTTACCAAATTCTGAGCATAGAAAGTGTGTGAAACACATTGTGGAGAGTGTGAAGAAGAACCATGCCAAGAAAGACTTGCTTAAACCTAGGATATGGGATATTGCTCGGAGCTATACGAAGTCAGAATTTGACTACAATGTTAAGAAGTTACAAGCATACGATTTGGCCTTATACAATGATGTTATGAAGGAGCTGCCGGAAACTTGGTCTCGACCTTTTTACAAGCTTGGAAGCTGCTGTGAAGATGTTGACAACAACGCAACAGAGTCCTTTAACTCCACTATCACAAAAGCTCGAGCGAAATCAATGGTCCCAATGCTTGAGATGATAAGGAGACAAGCAATGGAACGCATCGCCAGAAGACACATCACATCAATGAAGCATGAGGGGGTTTGTTCAAAGTATGTAGCTAAACTGCTTGCAGAGGAGAAGAAGATCGCAGATGAATGTGTGACGACACCTGCAACTCGTGGAGTCTTTGAGGTCTCTGTAGACAATGATAGACATAATGTCAATACAATGAGGCATACATGTTCATGCGGAAAATGGCAAATAAGTGGAGTTCCGTGTGAACACGCTTATGGAGCAATGATTCATAAAGGTTTGAATGTTGATGAATATGTCTCAAAATTCTTCTCTACTATGATGTGGCAATATATTTACAGCACCAATCTAGAACCTGTCAGAGGACCACGAGTATGGATGAAGTCGGGTTTAGGATTGATAGTTGCTCCTCCTGAGCCTGATCAACCTGGGAGAAAGAAGAAGAAGCAAAAGAAATTCCCTAGAATAAAAGGCAAATTTGAATCACCAAAAAAGAAGAAGAAGAAGAGGGAAGTGGAGAAGCTTGGAAGGGCAGGTCGAACTGTCCATTGTAGTTCATGTGGTGAGGCAGACCATAACGCAAATGGTTGTAAAGTCCATCCAAAGAAGACACACCAAAATATAGAAGAGGTATAATATCTAACTAATTTTTTTAAAAAAAAATTATATATATCCTAATGTTTAGTTTTGTGGCAGGGTACTTCTTCTCATGTCCATGAAGAGATCAGACTTACACAACCTACTCAATCTACTCAAGCTCAAGACTAGTTATTTAAAATTGAAAACTCTATTCTAATGTACTTTTGTGACTTTTGTTGTTTTTAAAAACTCTAAATAAAGTTCTTTTAAACTCTAAGTTAAATTTACTTTTGTGTCTTTTGTTGTTCTTCGAAACTCTAAAATAATGTATTTTGTGTCTTTTGTTGTCGATTTTTTCATGTTGTAATACAACCTCATCTCACAGAATTTAAATGAGAGTAGAGAGTGAACAATAAAAGATAGATTAATATCCACAAAAATAACTATAAAAGACAGATTCATGTTCCACAAAACTCAAAAACATCTTACACAAAGAGACAAACAAACTACTCTATTCTCAGTTTCTGCAGCAGAGAGTGGA